CCTGGACGACGAAGAGCTGGTGGAGACGCTCAATGATGCCAAGGTGGGTCCTTAAAAGCGGAGGAAACATTTCCACTTGATTCCCATGTTATATATCATTATAGGAAACATCGCTGATCATTGCCGCCCGACTGATTGACACCGAGGAGACGGAGAAGGTTATAACCGCCTCCCGGGAACGCTATCGCATCCTGGCCTCCCGCGGAGCCATCCTCTACTTTGTGGTGGCGGGTCTGGCCGAGATCGATCCCATGTACCAGTACAGCCTAAAGTACTTCACCCAGGTCTTCTGCAATGTCCTGCGATTGGAGCATCCTACGCAAACCGTGGAGGTTCGCATTTCCACTCTGATGACGGACGAACTGAAGGCCATTTTTGATAATATATCGAGGGGTCTGTTTGAGAACCACAAGATCATCTTTAGCTTCCTTCTGGCCCTGTCGGTGGAACGGCAGGAGGGACGCGTCACCGAGGAGGAGTTCCTCTTCCTCACCCGCGGACCGGTGGGCAACATTCGGCCCAAGAAGCAGCCGGCCAACATCAAGATGAGCCAGATCGAATGGGACTCGTGCGTCTTCCTCGAGGATAACTTCAAGAGCTTCTTCGGCGGATTCACCGACGAACTGGACAAGCCCTTCTTCATCCAGATGCAGGAGAACAGGGAGGTGTTCGACTTTGCCCAGAACAATCAGCCGCCCACGGACAAGTGGAACAATCGCCTAAGGGTCTTCCACAAGCTGATGTTCATCGGCGCCTTCCGGAAGCCCCGATTCCTGCTAAACGTGGTCTGCTACCTCCAGTCCACCGTGGGCAAGTACTTCACCGAGGCCTCCGGCGGAACCCAATTGAGCTCTGTGTAAGATATAATACTCTAAACTATATTACTTATTGTTTTAGAAAATATGTTTTTTATATTTTTTAAAAATCTTCTGCAGAAACCTTTGCCTAAATTGGTCGAAAAAGATTTCTGCAGCAGAATTAATCGGTCTTTTGGCTGTACGCCTTGATTTGGCTAAACTACGATCGAAAAACCGTTAAAAAATGGGTATTTTTGACCAAAATATGAATCCCAAAAAAAGATGATGCAACCACTTACAAAAAATGAAAAAATGGGTCAAAAAATAAATTTATTTTAAAATGATTGGATTTGTTAGCTTAGGATGTTAGCTGCTCAAAACTGTCGGTCTTTTGGCTGTACGCCTTGATTTGGCTAAACTACGATCGAAAAACCGTTAAAAAATTCGTATTTTGGACCAAAATCTGAATCCCAAAAAAAGACCCCTTACAAAAAATGAAAAAATGGGTCAAAAAATAAATTTCCCTTAAAATGATTGGGTTTGTTAGCTTATGATGTTAGCTGCTCAAAACTGTCGTTCTTTTGGTTGTACGACTTGATTTGGCTAAACTACAATCAAAAAACCGTTAAAAAATGGTTATTTTTGACCAAAATCTGAATCCCAAAAAAAGACGATACAACCCCTTACAAAAAATTAAAAAATGGGTCAAAAATTAAATTTCCTTTAAAATTATTGGGATCGTTAGCCTAGGATGTTAGCTGCTCTAAAATGTCGTTCTTTTGGGTGTACGACTTGATTTGACTAAACTACAATTCAAAAACCGTTAAAAAATGAGTATTTTTGACCAAAATCTGAATCCCAAAAAAAAACGATGCAACTCCTTACAATAAATGAAAAAATGGGTCAAAAATTAAATTTCTTTTAAAATTATTGGGATCCATAGCTTAGGATGTTAGCTGTTCAAAAATGTCGTTCTTTTGGTTGTACGACTTGATTTGGCTAAACTACAATCAAAAAACCGTTAAAAAATGGGTATTTTTGACCAAAATCTGAATCCCAAAAAAAGAATCCCTTACAAAAAATGAAAAAATGGGTCAAAAAATAAATTTCATTTTAAATGATTGCGATTGTTAGCTTAGGATGTTAGCTGCTCAAAACTGTCGGTCTTTTGGCTGTACGCCTTGATTTGGCTAAACTACGATAGAAAAACCGTTAAAAAATGGGAATCTTTGACCAAAATCTGAATCCCAAAAAAATACGATGCAACCCCTTATAAAAAATGAAAAAATGGGTCAAAAAATAAACTTCCTTTAAAATGATTGGGATCGTTAGCTTAGGATGTTAGCTGCTCAAAAATGTCGTTCTTTTGGCTGTACGACTTGATTTGGCTAAACTACAATCAAAAAACCGTTAAAAAATGAGTATTTTTGACCAAAATCTGAATCCCAAAAAAAAACGATACAACCCCTTACAAAAAATGAAAAAATGGGTCAAAAAATAAATTTCCTTGAAAATGATTGGATTTGTTAGCTTAGGATGTTAGCTGTTCAAAACTGTCGGTCTTTTGGCTGTACGCCTTGATTTGGCTAAACTACGATCGAAAAACCGCTGAAAAATGAGTATTTTTGACTAAAATCTGAATAATTGGGATTGTTAGCTAGGATGTAGCTGCTTAAAGCATTCGTTCATTCGGTTCGAAAGAAAGTATTTTTTGACTAAATTGTGAAACTGATCTTTCCTCCATAAAAAATCAGTGAAATAGAATATTTATATAATATTTTCTTACCCCACAAAGCTACTTGGACACCTCTGCGGTGACGCCGTTAATCTTTGTTCTGTCCACCGGCTCGGATCCTATGTCAGGCTTCTTGAAGTTCACCACCCAGATGCAGTTCACCGACAAGTACTACTCCATCTCGCTGGGCCAGGGTCAGGGACCACTGGCGGAGAACCTGATCGACAAGAGCCTGCGCCTGGGCCACTGGGTGTTCCTGCAGAACTGCCACCTGGCCACCTCGTTCATGCAGACGCTGGAGACCATCGTGCGCAATCTGACGCTGGGCATCACCAAGGCGCATCCCGACTTCCGGCTATATCTCTCCTCGATGCCCATCCAGACGTTCCCGATCAGTGTGCTTCAGAATTCGGTGAAGATCACCAACGAACCACCCAAGGGCATCAAGGCGAATGTGTTCGGGGCTATGACGGATCTGAAGCAGGACTTCTTCGAGCAGCACATTCAGAATGGCAACTGGCGGGCCATTGTCTTTGGTCTGTGCATGTTCCATGCCGTTCTGCTAGAGCGGAGGAAGTTCGGACCCCTGGGCTGGAACATCACGTACGAGTTCAGCGAGAGCGATCGTGAGTGCGGCCTGAAGACCCTCGACTTCTTTATCGATCGCGAGGTGCTCGATGATATACCCTGGGAGGCCATACTCTATATCAACGGCGACATCACCTGGGGCGGCCGGGTGACGGATTACTGGGATCTGCGCTGTCTGCGCACCATCCTGACGATCTTTTCCTCCAAAAGGATCATCCAACCGGATTACAAGTACTGCCGTGGTGATAGCTACTATCGGGATCCCCGCAAGAAGACGCTGGCTGAGTACTCGGCCTATGTGCAAGGTTTTCCGGTCCTGGAGGATCCGGAGATTTTCGGCATGAACCAAAACGCCAACATTGTGTTCCAGACCAAGGAGACGGCATTCTTTATCAGCACCCTGCTCCTGGGCCAGCCGAGATCCGCCGCCGACGAGGGACAGGCCATGGAGAATGAGATCTGCCAGCAGACAATACAACGCATCCAGAAGGCCCTGGCCACCAAGATCAAGCGGGAGCCCATCCACGACACGCTCTCGGTGGTGAGTATTAGTATAACAATCGGTAGTAGCTAGGGAATGGTGGTTCCATCTTGATCTTGACTATTCGAAGAGCTTCCTTAATAACTACATAACATTTCGAACTCTCTTCTAAGGAATATATTTTCTCCCTTTCCAGCTGGACTCCAAAGGTCAGGTGCCATCGCTGACCATTGTGCTGGTGCAGGAGATTGATCGCTTCAACATTGCTTTGGGCATCATCCACGACAGCATGATCAACTTGGCCAAGGCCATCAAGGGCCTGGTGGTGATGTCAGAGGAGCTGGAGAACGTGTTCAAGGCGCTGCTGTCCAACCTTGTGCCCGCATCCTGGGCTAAGAGGAGCTTCCTGTCGATCAAGCCACTGCCCAGCTATATAGCCGATTTCCAACGGCGCATCGACTTCATCCAGCAGTGGGCGGAGAATGGAGCACCGCGCTCCTATTGGATCAGTGGATTCTTCTTCCCCCAATCCTTCCTCACCGGCGTCCTGCAGACGTACGCCCGACGACGAATCCTGCCCATCGATTCGCTGAAGATTGACTTCGATGTGTTCGAAAAGGAGCTGGTGCAGCAGGACTTCTTCGAGATGCACATGAACAATATGAATGTGAGTATAAGGCTAAATGATATGAAATGGGATGGTTAAATAGGATATGTATATCTTTGCTAGAACATTTTCTAAATAGACATACGTTTTCTTTCGTTTATAGGACCAAAAGCTGTATGGCAGCCTGCCAGAGTGCACAGATGCCATCATCAATGTGCACGGCATCTTCATCGAAGCGGCTCGCTGGGACCTGAGCAAGGGTGGGCTGTGCGATGCCAACTTCGGGGAGCTCTTCAGCCGGATGCCGGTGGTGAGGTTCAAGCCCTGCCTGGAGATTTCGACGGTGGTGCGCTACGAGGCGCCTCTCTACAAGACCCAGCAGCGATCCGGCGTCCTCTCCACCACGGGCCATTCGACCAACTTCATCCTGGCCGTCCTCCTGCGCAGCAACAATGATCCCGAGTTCTGGATCATGCGGGGTACGGCTCTGGTATCTGCGGTTCTGGAGAATATTTGCTAGGCTCTCGAGGGTTCTAGGGATTATGTCGAGTTCTTGTTATTTTACTGCATACTTCAAGCCGTCTTTATTTCGTTTCTTGTTCATTTTCGGGTATTTCTTGCTAAGGTGTACAATACATATCGTGTGTGTGTGTGGATTAGTTTAAAATCTAGGCTTAAGGTCCTGATCTGTATCTGTAAACTAGATTACAAGCAAATGTTTTTGGGAAATCCCTAGGGATTTCATTGATAAATCAAGGCACAAAAACCAATTATTCCACAAACACGATTTTGTGCACTATTTTTTTTTTGTTTCCTATCAAAAGCAGTTTTACACAATAGAAGCATCTATTTTGACAAGGCAAATTGGCGCTCAAAATACGAGCTACTTATGGCAAAAATCGACAAAGTCTTCATTAAATATCTGACAAAATGTTCTTAAGCCTATGTGTATATAATTTATGTAGACATATGTACGGTTCGTATGTACAACATTATACTTTTTAAGTCTGTTCTCAATATTTGATCAAATCTACCGTGGAATTCTGTACCTTGCACACACACACACACTGAGAGAAAAGCACAGGCAGGCACTACTTTATGTATACTATGTACAATCCTTTCGGTTTCAATTTAAGTTTAAGTTTCAGTTTAAGTTTCGGTTTGGTCACAGTCTATTTCGTATATCAAGTATTTCAATCAACAGGTGGACAGACAGATAACAGATGGGGGCAAATCTAACTAATTGACTAACGATGAACATACACTGAAAGATAAAGGAATGTGGTGGCTGCAGGTAGTGCAGGTTGTTTTTTCTTTTTTTTTTTTGCTTTGATTTCTGTTATTTTGTTCGCCTTTTCTAAGTACTAATACTGCCGTTCGCTACTCCAATTTTTTGTGGAAGGTATGGATATCGAATTGGATTTGGAAACGTGGAAATGTGGCTTAGGGGCTAAAGGTTACGGGGCATAGGTTTTAGATACAAGTATAGGTTTGGTCTTTTTCGTTAGTTAACCGCATAAATGGAATGCTAAATTAGTTAGAGTTCTTATGCACTAATTATTGCTGGACATTGTCTCTCCTCAACTTTAAGTACTTAGTCACTAAATATACAAATTAGCTAAACAACGCAAAAAAAAATTAATAAAAAAATAGTGTAAATTGAATTATCGATAAACTGTCGTATAACACGTTCCGCAAAATCTTTCGTTAGGAAGCACAATTCGGCGGGCGGCCATCGCTGCCTACAATTTTTTACTGTCCATATCGATCCTGAGATCGGGCAGGGATCCGCGCGTCTGCAGCAGGCTCCGCTTCTCCGGATCCTTGACCTTCTTGGGCTTGGGTCGGTTCGTCTTCGTGTAGCGATTGATCACCCCGTCGGCCTCGTCCATCATGCGCAGGATGAGCGCCTGGTCGGAGGAGTCCAGCGGGGCTATCGAGATGTCTCGCACGGCTCGGAACTTGCCGCAATTGTTAAGATGCTCGTTCTCCAACCGGAAAAAGTTCCAAACAAAGCGGCTAAAAGGGAGAATATTATGTTATTAACTGGGAAATACTTTTATTCTGGTATCCTAACTCACCGGAAAACCTCCAGGATGCCTGTGATGGAGGTCATAATGTCGCTGCTCACTATTTTCATCTCGGTGAGGTAGAAAGACAGCACCCAAATAAAGCGTAGCGCCAGATCCTCAACAATGGCAAAGTAGTAGAAACCCTGAAAAGTTGTGAAAATTCAAGGATTACATTACGGAATCTTCAAGCAGCCCTAATTTAAATAACAAAAACATGTTGTCCACTTACCGTCGATGAGTAGACAACTTCCTCGCGCAGGAAAGTATTCTCGCCGGCATTCTTGTCGAACAGACCCCAATCCATCTTGATATCCCAGGTGTAGGCATAGCAGGAGGACACAATCGAGGCGATGATCCACAGCCAGGTGTAGGGATTGTCAAATGTGCTGGCATAGTTGGCTAAAATAAAAGAATAGAACCATTGAAAAACATATATTTAAGAGCAAGGAAGAACACTCACGACTGTGAAAGCTCTTGAGGGTGGCGAAGATCACTACCAGGAAGGTGGTGGAGTATTTGCCAGCGTTGACCAAGTGAGGAAAGGCCTCCCGTGAGTCCCGATATCGCCGCAGGCATTGTGCAAATCGGAACCAAGCGGGCAGGCAATTGACAATCGGCCGGATGATAAAGTCCTTCTCCATGCAAATGGAGGCATCCCTCGCCTCCGTCCAGTTGCCATTCGTGAAATAGAAACAAATGAGATACTCGAAGTCCAGGATTGCTGTGGCCAGCGAATTAAGCTGATCGCCCAGCCAGAAATCGGCGAAGCCCACGTGGAAGAACGGCGCGGACAGGCAACGACCCGTGATTCGCCACAGCCAAAACCGAGCGTCGTGATGGAGCACATGAAATGGATTGGCCAAAAACAGCACCATAATCAGCGTGAGCGTCAGCGGATTGATGAACGCCGGTATGGCCAAACTGGCGCTGTACAGGAAACTCAACATGCTGAGCGTCCAAACGACCCCGAAAATCGCCGCCAGCTCCATGAGATGCTGCTCGGATAGATGATTTCGCGGATCGAGCTCGAAGATCAGGACATGATTCACACCAGACGACCGCCAGCCGTAGATATTGACGCCGATGAGGAAGATGAACTCGATGATGAGCAGGGGTCCGCGGTACAGGCGGAATGTGACCTTCAGGTTCTCGCCGCTGATCTCGTGGAAGATGGCCGACAGCACCACCACAATGCCCAGCACTATGAAACTGCCGGAAAAGAGGCCCACCTTGAAGGTTGTCCACGGACTCTGCTGTTCGCCCAGCGGCGGCACTCGGAGCCTCTTCATGGCCCGCTGCCGATCACCGCCCTCCAGCTCGCCGGTTACCGTCGTCTCCGTCTCATTGATGATGTTGTCGATGTCCTTGTTGGTGAAGAAGTGCGAAGCCTCCACATATTCCTGTCTCCACTTGGCACCGCTATCCACTCGCAAAAGCTGTGGCGAAAGGATGGGAAAGTAATAATTTTAATAATTAATAGGGATATTTAAATATGTATGAACATGGTTTAATAGTTTCTTAGTTAAAAATTATATTTTATAAGATTAAATGAAGCCCACGAAGTGATTTCATAGTGAGCGCCAAAACATAGATCATAAAACATATCCGACCTAATTTTCTTATCTTAGTAGAATGAATGATTCACCCTTATTTTATGATGGTTACTGAAAAGTTCAGGCGTGTGCAACCCGAATTGCTAGCGATAACGCTGACTATTTTTAAGCAACTTTTTCCCGAGAACCCTGCCATAAACTTGTATTATTTACTCCCCAGACGAAACAATTTTTCTACACTTGTTCTACGTTGCAGAAAAAGAAGTAATCCCCCAAGATCTTGACTAGGTCAAGGTTCAGTGGGGATGCCGCTGCAGTGGCCGTAAATCAGACTTACTTTATCGTGCTTCTTGAGTATTTTACGAAAGCCGGTGTGATTCAGATTCTGGTAGTTCTGCAGGAGGATCAGACTCAGGTAGAACTCGCTGAAGGCCAACTTCAGTTCGCGTGCCTTGCGATCCGGCAGAGCCGCATGCCTCTTCTGTCCCTTAGACTTTTTGGCACTCCGCTCCGACTCCTCAATGGAGGTCTTCAGCTCAGCATTCAGGGTGGCGAACTTTCGCGTGGCCTCTGCCAGCTTTTCCGAGTAGAATGTATTGATCTTCTTCAACTCCTTGTCGCAGTAGTGAAAGAAGTTCTCATCGAAGTTGGCAAAATGCCGCTTCAGCACATCGTCCTCGACACTCTCCACCGATGGCGCCTCCTCCACGGCCAAGTACAGCATGGCCTTCATTTCCTGTCAAACACAAACAAATGGGATTTTTAGTTTTCTTTTCTTTTATTTTTTGGTTGTTGGCCCAGACTCACCTCATAGTTGATGTATTGTTTGCGCCACTCAGGCGTTATGTGCGCCGACAGGTGCTCGGCGAACTTCATGGCTGCCGATGTGTTAGCCTGGCTATTCTAGGGCTAGCTCTGTCCAGTCCAGTCCAGATCGGATCCGTTCCGTTCCGTTGATCGGCGCTGCACTGAAGCGCGTCTGAAACGATAAAAATGAAAAAATTGTTAGGGGCATTTCCGGATATCGTATTGGTATTACTTAAAACTAGACTTTGTTTATTGATATTGGTCTTGAAAATAGAAACATTCTTACTGAATGATATCGTTATTTTCTTGTTCATTTCAATACATTTTTACTGCATTTTAGGAATAATAAATGGGATTCCAATGTTTTAAAAAATACATATGTATATCTTTCAATTTAGTAATTGCACAATTGTATTATTAATTACTTTTTAGCAAGCCCTTTATGACTTTTGTTCCCTGAAATCGTATTATCAATTGTGTGTACATAAATGTTTAATTATAAGAGAACGTGCAACGAGTAAGATGAAGGCATAGGACGTAGAACTCAAGATAAGCAAAGAAGTTTTTAAGAGTGATTCACAGGCCGAATATAACTCTTTCTGCGGCGAATGAGTAACGTACTGGGTATAATATCAAGTATCCATGAATTCAGAACCGATCGCTCGGCTTTCTCCCACTTGCGTTGGTAATTTAACGGACGAGCAAGCGGACTAATGGATAATGGCTCAAATCAATGCAGTAGCTAATCGGGTGTATTAACTTAAGCATGATATACGACTACCAGCGATCGTAAATTGAACGCTGGTGGGTGTGTTTTTCATAAGTGATAAGCACCAGGCCCCAAAAAAGGGAGAATACATATACGATTAAGCCGTAATACAACAATTATTGGGGTCTGTAGCACCCGACTCTTTACAGAATATATATGTGTATCATTAACGGGGCCCGCATAACGAGTTAAGCAAATTGGAAAATTTTTGTCGCCCGTTCAAACAGCGCCTTATACGATGCAGATAGAGATCGAGTTGGGAGAATGTTTTAATCAATTGCACAAATATTTGCGTCGCCAACTGTTGCTGTGGCATTTGTTGCTATTCGTGCCTCCTATTTTACCGCCGCCCTTCCTCGGTTTCTGGACGTAACTTCCGCCCAACCCATCTTCTACACAGGTAAAAATATATTAACTTATTTTTTAAAATTCCACGTGATCACTTAAGAGTTTTTAAAGTTTACATAATTATAAAAGACAAGACTATTGAAGGCTTTTCGTTTTGATTAAATACTTCCCTGACAACCTTGATAAAGATAGTGGGCTAAAATTGTTTGCTATCTAAATCTCATTATCAACATGCCAATATTTAAAGAAGTGCATGCTATAATTAACCATTTAAAGATACATATATGTTTTTTTGGGTCGTTACATTAGGATACCATTTTGGTATTATATATTATAATTATTATACGAGGATTTACTTAAAAACCCTTTGAAACCTTTTTCTTTAATAGTCTTTTCTAATAACCTTAACAGAAATATTAAAATATTTTTTAAAGATCAAGGTGTCTGAAACGCAAACTTTTAAGTGTTATAGTAAACAAGTATTTAATCATTTATTGATTGACTTGTATTACTGATATCATTCTGATCTGATAAATAATAAAATACTATACATATTGTTTGGAATGTGATAATTCCCAACTGATGTTCTAATAATTTCTTCCACTGCATAGCCATTTCCATAGTTTATTGTTCAGTACAGTACAGTACCTGGGCGATAATTGATGGGAGGGTCAGTGGAGGGGGTGGTGGAAGGGGGTGGGACAGACTGGCGGTCAATTAACGTCAACAGTAGAGCCTAAATATAGATCGGCCGCTGATTGATTAGAGCATATACCATAGCGAACAATGGCAATCGTAATGGATTAGAGGTGTTTGTCTCTGATCGATCGACATAGCCGGCAAATCTGAAGCTATCCCGCCCATCTCAGAGTTCAGGCCTTATCACCTTATCGCCGTTCACAGATTTCTCTTCTGTAGTTTAATTAGCGCTGATAACGAAACGGCTGGACGGGGACTGGTCTTATAAAACATGTGCTAGTGCCGCCTGGAACAACAGCACCAACAGCTGACACACAAAGCCCCATAATCGCTGTGACATCGCCGGAACACATCGACGGCACACGTAGACGCAAATATTTGATCAATAAAACAAGAATGGAGGTTTGTTTTGGGGAAAACGAATCTGGAAATACCCTCTCGCCCTCTAATTGGTGCTTTAGAACACAATCTTATAACAATTATAGGCTGCAATCTGCAGCAATCTCGATGGGATTATCTTGAATAGCAAACAGGTTGTGTGCTACCCTCCTATCACAGGTATTGGATATAGTATAGAACTTAAATAATTTTCGCACTACAATATTAGTGGCAGTGAAAAATTAAAACAACGGAAACAAAGAAAGAAAAAACAAACAAAGGTATACATAGGAAAACTTTTCACTTGATCACTTTTTATTTAGAGATGAGAAGCGAGTAGCTACGCAATATGAAATATATTTACTTTATAGACGGGAAACTTTCAGAGAGTACACATAAACTGAAATATAACACTTTTGCATTGTTAAAATTCCAAGCAAACAAGGCAATGTCAAGTTATTTGGGTTAGGTTGATGGAAGTTTACACTTGAGTTCACCTAAACACTTCTCATTCAGAGATCTCAAATTCCATAAATGCGAAACTTTTAGGGAATGAACTTAAACTCAAGAATAACACGTTTGTGTTGTTAAAACTCAAAATAAATAAGCCAAAGTCAAGTTATTTGGGTGAGGTCGATGGTATAATTCACTAAAACACTTCTCATTCAGAGATCTCAAGTTCTATAAATGCCAAACTTTCAGGGAATGTACTAACACTCTAGTATAACACTTTTGTATTGTTAAAAATCAAAATAAATAAGCCAAAGTCAAGTTATTTGGGTTAGGGATAGGTGGTAATTTGCGATTATTTTGCAAACCTCTTTCAGAAGTGATTATACCCCTTTCTGAGGCGAAGTGGAAACGAATGCTGGGATTTGCTGACTGAACTGAACCGCTGATGTTGGCTTTTGATTTTTGTTGATTTCCGCCAGGGGCGGTCGTGGCCGAAGGGGGCGGGGCAGCGGGGCGGCAGAGCGCCAGCGCAGCCGAGCTAGCCGTCAATTCGTCTTGTCTTGTGATTTTTCGCCTTCATCGCAATTGGACAAACGAGGCGCAATTGGAGGCACCCAGTCCGAGATTATCGGATGACTTTGGCGGGGGATTTGGGGAGCGTATGGGGACTTGGGGGTGGGAAATTGCATTTCAATTACATAAAATTACATACATACACTGCAGCTTGCACTTGCAGTTCGTCCCGTTCGCCTTTTTGGTATTGGGGGTTCTATTTTAACATCGCGAGCTGCTCCCGCTGGCCATTACTATTGTCAACAGACGTTGATTTGTTAAGTACACTGCTTATCACCGAATAGCGCGCATATCACTAAAATCCAGACGACGGTCGAAATGCGGGGCCAAACAACAACAAAACAAAGAACTGCGGATGTTTAAAATGTATCAAAATACCGATATATCGATATCTTTGAACAAAAATAAATAGACCAGGGTATTTTTATTCTCTACATTTCGCAGCGGTTGGCGGATGGTCACACCAGCTGATTTCGAATCTGCCCTCCCTCTCCATTTAACAGAAATGTTAAGATACAAGGTTTTCGAACCGTGGTAAAGGAATAAAAACGGCGAAGAAGCAAAGTTTCATTGTTAGTGATTTAAAAATGATATATCATCGATACGATAATATTTAAATATATCCACAACCCTGCAAGGAACTGAACACTTGCGAAAAAAAAACACAAGGCCAAGTATTGCAAAACGCGCGCGCGTCTCGGCGAGGAGTGTTTCTTCGCTAGATTAGCGAAGACAACACCCTCGCATTTTAGTGCAACTTTTTTAGAACAATGTTATCGATATTTTGCAATTATTTGTCCACCTCTAATTCACGCAAACAAAGTTGCGATTTTACCACAAAAAAAAGAAGAAAGAAACAAAACAAAATCGTCAATTTCGCTACCACCGAAGAACCAATCCAGTCGCAGCCGCGTCCCATGAGTGCAAACCTGAAGAACATCAAGCTGGCCCACTTCGGCGGTCCGCCCGGTTCCAGTGGCTTTGGCATATCGGCGTCCTCCGGAGGCGCTGGAAAACTGCCCACAAATGGCACGGGTGGCGGCAAATCCGCTCCGCCCAGCTCCTTCACGGAGGCCGAGGTGCTAGCCACGCCCGGGGGCGTCGTTATACCCATAATCCGCACCCGGGACGTGCCCAAGCTGCTGCCCACCATTGCCAACGCGCTGCAGCGTCCAGCGGATGATCATCTAGCCGCCGAGGATCTGGATGCAGTGCAACTGGAGCTGGAGCAGATGCTCTCCAATGTGGCGCTGCGCACGCGTGTCCTGAAGTCGGAATACGATAGCTTGGACAAGGATGAGAAGCGTCAGGATCGCCGAAAGCTGGACCGCGTCCCGGGTTCGCCTCCTTGCCCGGCCAACATGCTTAACGGCCTACTCGGCGTAGGCAGCAACTCCTCCACGAGTCTTGGCAGTCCCCTCGGTGGAGGTGGAGGCGCTTCCTCCTCCAGTCAATCCAAGCGGAAACGCGAAGAGCCCACAGGCGTGCGCAAGAAGCACTCCTCGATGACCATCCTGAAGCAACAGAGCGTCTCCGGCGGCTCCTCGAAGCACCAGGCCAAGAACAGCCCCTTGGCCGTTCACACCGATGACAGCATGGACTATCTGCCCACCTTGGTGGCGGCCAACGCCTCTGGTTCCGTGCTGCCGCATCACCAGCCGTTGCCCCAGCTGCCCAAGGTGGCGGTGCCCAAGAACGACACACCCAACAAGTTCTGGCTCTCCGTAGAGCCATACTGCATGCCGCTGACCAACGAGGATCTGCGCTTGATTGACGATCTCTTGGAGCAGTATCGGGGTCCGCTGGTGCCGCCAGTGCCCACGCTAGGTCCCCACTACTCCACGGCCTGGGCCCAGGAGGATATGAAGGCACTACAGCCGGGCGGAGCACGCCTCAAGTCGAACAGCGCCAGCGGGATGATCAAGAAAGCCGAAGGAATGGTGGAGGAGAGCATCACGGGTCCGTTGACCCAGCGCTTGGTGTCCGCCCTGATGGAGGAGTCGCTGATGACGCTGCCCAGCGAACAGGCGGCGGTGGGGGAGCACAGCAACAGCACGACGAGCAGCAGCAACGAGAACACCCACTCACACTCTTCCTCATCGGCAAATGCAGCCGCAGCGGCTGCTTCCGGCAACTTCCGATCACTGGCCATGATGAAACATGGCGTGGGCATCGAACAGCGGCTAAAGAAGACGCTCATAGAGAACGGACTGATCGATGCCAATGAGTTGGCGGCCCACGAGGACGTGGACGAGGTTCTGCTGGAGATCAAGCGGGTCACTACAGAAATAAGCTCCATTTCTCAGTTCAACAGTGAGGAATTGAAGCGACTTCGTTCCGCTGCCAGCGAAGAGATCAAGCGAATAGCCATCAAGCGGAAATTGGACACGGTCGACCAGGAGATACTCGAGTGCTACAAGCGAATGCTGCAGTATCGGGCCAAGCGCAAGGGTCACACCATCGAGGAAAAACAGGAGATCCTGCGGCTGACCAACGAGCAGCGAATGCTGGCCGATCAGCTGGAGCGCATGCAGATGCATCTGCCGTGCATCGGCGGCGCTGGAGGCTCTCTGATGGAGCCCAAGATGTAGGACAGGACCCTGGCCTGGGGCTGGTGCCAGCTAATGGCCATGCATCAGGCAAAGAGGCAGGTCCGGGAGGCTAGCCTCAAGCTGCAGTGTGTCTGAAAGGAATCCTCCTCCTCCGTCTCGACTTCTTCCTTTTCGCCCGACTGTACATTAGCAAGTAGCGAACAAACCCAAGGAGTGGATGGTTAGAAAAAGGGGCTGCATAGTACCAGCTCTTGGTCTTCGAGTCTTTTCTAACAACTTCCTACCCCGTATTCTTATCTTTGTCGCCAGACTGTACATTAGCAAAGATATATACCTTATAGTATGTAGAGTTCAAGATTAAAGTGGATTTAATGGTTAAGATAAGATGTTCAAGTGGCGGATATTAATTTTTGGTCAATTCTAAGCTGTTCCTTTGCGAAAGCCCTGGATTTTCTAACTATAAGAGTGTCCTTTTTTAGCTTAAACATTTTAAATTGTATTTTAACTGCCTGGATCAGCTCTTCCTAACTTATTTTGTAATTGCTGAACATAAAAGAATATGAAATAGTTGAAACATCCAAAGATTTCACATGCTGGATTTGTCTTTGTAAATAGAGATGGAGCATTTTTGTTTGCCTAATGAATACCAAGTTTTCTTCGAAAGAATTACCCACAAATTACTATCCGTCCCAATAAATCGGAAGTTTGTTTGTTTTTCACAACTATAAATATTGATCCACCCTATTTAACACTCCCAAGTACGTACACTTTGTATAGCTTAAGTTATCGCGCGGCAATAAAGTTGTCACTATCGAGAGTAAACCGCAGAATTTTCCACCGGGGAAGTTGGGAGGAGAACCACCGCACTGGGTGAACGTTGCACACGCTTTGAATTCGATCTTCCCAGCGGCACGGGCCAAGTGAACTCCAGCGGATGCGGATGCGGAGGCGCCTCTTCCGCCGATCTTGTTTGCCCAGCGATAAGGCGCAATCAAAGGCGGCAACTCCGGAGTACGGCTAATTAAATCCAAACAAGCGGGGGTCTTCGATCCGGGGATCGCTAATCTCAATGGCAAATACATATCTTCAAAAAAACAAACTTTATTTCAGGTAGCAAAAGGCAGTAATATCTTATAAGCTAGACTATAGTCTTCAATGAACATCGCCGGTGGCACTCGTAAAAGTAAATGTGATGCGATTTGAGTGTATTGATTGTACTTCATGTGTGTTGCGGTGCAGTGGTTTGACTGGTGGATCCATCCGGATCCCATATCACAATCGCAGTTGTAGTCTTTTGTATACTATAGTATTGGATCCATTACGGATTCGAGCTAATCGCTCAGGGCGGCAAACTCAGAGGCATGGGCGGCCATCAGATCGGAGCGACAGGAGACCTGGATGCCCGAGGCGTTGGCCTTCAGGCGTAGATTGGCATCGTTGGTGAGGAGCATCATGTTCGGCACCTGCTCGCTCAGCTGTAGGCAGCAGTTGACGATGCTGTCGTCCGGGCAGTCCACTTCGATCAGGTGCTCCGCCTCCTCCACGGCGGATTGAGCTGTAACACAAGTAACGTAGGTTAATATGGGGTAAAATACATGGAATACTCTACTGCGCACCTTGTATTTCCAAGGTCTCATCGAATTTTTTGTTCAAATAGCGTATGGCTCGCACGGCGATCAGCCGCTTTGGATCCTCTGAAGGGCGCTGCCCCTTCAGCTTGTCCAGCTCCTTGATGATTATGTAGGGAATGTACAGCATGCTTCCCACAGTGCCCGGCAGCACCACCTCGGTGAGACTCTCCACGAACTTGATGTCGTGCATAAGGACGTTGGTGTCCAGCACGAAGTACATATGATCCACCAGACGGGTGGGCAACTCCTCGCCATCGCTGGCTTGACGCATGAGCAGGATGTCATCCTCCTGCTTTGGAGGCACAACTTCAATCGACTCCTCCCACTCCATGGGCTCGGGGTCCAGATCGCTGGACACAGAGCCATTAAATGCGCTTTGCTTGGCGGAATCACTGTTTCCTACTTGTTTTTTTAAGTCCTTTTCGTTGGGCTTGCTAATATCATTGTTGTTGCGCTCCTGGGCCAGCTGCTTCTGCTGCAGGGAGGCTCTCAACAGCGTTAAACGCTGGTTGGCTGGGGAACAGATGGTATATGTAGGGGTTTAAAAGAACATTTGACTAGGAAATGGAGTACCCACCACTTGGAGCAGTCAGGCGATTGCTGGCATCCAGCAGGGCCTTTGGCTTCTCCCAGGCATTCTTGGGTGACAAGCCCTTGGTCTCTGGCACCCTTAGACGCTGCGCCAAGGGTCTTGGCGGCGTGACTGTGGCCACAGGGGCCACGGAGACACTTGCTCGTCGGCTGGGCGCTGGAATCGGGGCACGAACCTGGGCGCTTGTGGAGGAGCTGCGCGTGGTTCGCTTGATCTCCTTCTCCTTCTCCTTGGTTGGCTTCTTGTCCTGCACCCGCTTCAAGTTGGTCTGCAGCCGCTTGAGGCGATCCTGAGCAGGTTGCTTGCTGCCAGGAGCGACTAATTGAATGGTTAATGTTAATTATATGGGCTACACTATCAGTATAAAGGAAACAATCTAAATTTCTCACCATTTGGCAGCCGCGCAGTGCCAAGCAGCTTGTCCCTCTCCTCGTCGCCCAGAAGTCGCAGATTTGCTAACTTGCCACTTTGCTTGTTTCTGCCACTCGACGACATGTTGTTTTCTTAAGCATTTAATTGTTTGTTATTGTTGTGAATTGCTTGCTGTGCTTTGCCTTTTCCAATTAGATTAGAGATGGACCGATAACTTTCGTGTCACGATAGTCCATTAAATCGGTTATTTCCTGGAATAGTAACATTCTAGAAATAACTATTTTATTAAGAAAGACGCATTTAATGTTTTTATCACTACATTTTATCGTTAATATTGGCTAGGGTAGCTACTGTAAATAAAATATAATATCCCGGAACAATAAACTATGGTACAAGATATGTTTTGCTCTTACTTTTTTAGAGAAAGAACAACACGGATTTTCTGTAAAAACAGCACTACTAATATAATCAGATTAGCTTGAAAATCTTAATTAATTATTTTAAGTGCAGAAACAACCCCAATTCCTATGTGCATACCCTATATATTTTATAACAAACGCACGAATGCCCCTACTTGGTATATTTTTCTAGTACTGAATGCTGGTATTTTCCTACGTTAGTGCCACACTGCACCGGTTTCGAATTGTTTAACTAGTTTTTGTTTAAAGCTTTCCCAAGTACTTGGTAATCACCGCCTTTCGCACCCACAACACACAACCGGCAGAATGATCAAGGTACGCAAGGGGGCTGTAAATAAGGACCATATAGCGATTACTGGGGAATTAGCGGGGACGACCCGGTGGCCGGGTGCAAAGTCCAATTGGGATCTGAACTCGTGTCTATGGAAGCCCATAAATAACCGTATCTTCGGACGGAACAATGCACCTTGTACCCACCGATCCAAACAATTAGCATTACTTCTCGCAAGTTATACAACAACATAGCATAATGGGGCTTATCTGGAATCTGAACTGATAATTCCTCAGATTTCTACCATCAGCTGCTTGCTAAAAATGCGATAAACCGGCTTCAGAGATTGAGAGATCCCTAGTTGAGAGATTTTTTGGGGTTCCGCTAACTGTAAATAGTGGGAAATACATACATACATATATGGAAAATAATACTAGCCTATATACCATCATACGTTTTGAACAAAGAAAACATGAGTATGTCTTTTAAAGGTAAAGGTTTTTATTAATATTCATACTTCCCAAATTATTTTTTATTTCTAATACTATAAAAAATAATTAAGAAACATATTAATTTTCTAAAAAAAATGTAATTCTCTTGATATTCTAGTTATCATATTCTTGCAACGCCTTTGTTCTTGGGTTTTAAAGCTTAATAATCTTTTGGGACGGCTTTTTAATGATTGTGCTAGCAGTGATAGACCTCCTATCAAAATCCTCATAAAGACTGCCAGATAATAACCCCCTCTATCCCCCTAGAACGCAGTAACTTTGGTGACCGGAGGAGCCTCTGGACTGGGTCGCGCCACCGCCGAGCGCCTGGCCAAGCAGGGAGCCAGCGTCGTCCTGGCCGATCTGCCCTCCTCCAAGGGCAATGAGGTGGCCAAGGAGCTCGGCGACAAGGTGGTCTTCGTGCCCGTGGACGTGACCTCCGAGAAGGATGTGAGTGCCGCCCTGCAGATCGCCAAGGATAAGTTCGGTCGTCTGGATCTGACCGTGAACTGTGCCGGCACGGCCACGGCGGTGAAGACTTACAACTTCAACAAGAATGTGGCCCACAGGCTGGAGGATTTCCAGCGGGTGATCAACATCAATACGGTGGGCACCTTCAATGTGATCCGTCTGTCGGCCGGTCTGATGGGCGCCAACGAGCCGAACCAGGATGGACAGCGCGGCGTGATCGTGAACACCGCCTCGGTGGCGGCATTCGATGGCCAGATCGGCCAGGCGGCCTACTCCGCCTCCAAGGCGGCTGTGGTGGGCATGACTCTGCCCATTGCCCGCGACCTGAGCACCCAGGGCATCCGGATCTGCACTATTGCGCCCGGTTTGTTCAACACCCCGATGCTGGCCGCCCTGCCAGAGAAGGTGCGCACCTTCCTGGCCAAGTCCATCCCGTTCCCGCAGCGCCTGGGCGAGCCCAGTGAGTACGCCCACCTGGTGCAGGCGATCTTCGAGAATCCGCTGCTCAACGGCGAGGTTATCCGCATCGATGGCGCCCTGCGCATGATGCCCTAAATCCGGATATGGAGGATACCGGACATCCGGAAGTGGCTCGATCAGTTTGCATTTATCTATTGTCTAGTGGTTAAGCTGAAAGTTTTATTATCTGTCCCGAAATTATGTAATAATTGCTATTAAACACACATCTCTACTTTTCAAATTTTGGAGGCCCGTCTGTTTGGTGCTTTTCAACACTGTTTTTGTGCCAGTTGCTTAAGGGGTAACAAGGGGTACATTGGTTTAATTATTCTGCTGCAATAGGTTTCTAAAAGATATCTGCGGATGATTTTAGCTTTTCAACTTGTTAATTCTTTGTATTTAAGAAATCTTACCGAAAAAATTAGATGACTTATTATCATGTAAAAATATTCTACAGGGTATCTTAATCATCCCTCCCTAAGCATTCGATGCATTTCACGCGGGTTGGCAGCTCCTAATGCAATTGTAAACAAACAATTCAATTGCAAATCGCTCTCCAGAAGATAATGCCGCCATATCAGCGCTGCGGCGATATCGTGTGGGTGACGAAGAGGCAGACGCCCTCCTTCGCCTTCCAGTGCATCTATTGCCAGGACAGCAGGACGAGCACATTCAAGGATTTCAAGTTGCACCTGGAGTCGCAGCACTCTGAGTTATTCCAGGATGAAGAAAAGAAGGATGTAAAGCTCCTTCCCCTCCGACCCGGGACACGGAAACTGCGTAGCGGAGCTGGCCGAGATCAGGAAGCAGTAATTATTCCCAAGGATGAGGATCCCTTGGCCACGCAGGACAAAGATGAGTTCGTGAAGGAGGAAAACCCGCCAAAAGAGATTGCCGAGGGGGATGACTCTCAGTTTCCGGTGGTCCAGGAGGAGGACACCCTGCTGGACTGGCCAGAGAGCGATAGCCAGAGCATAGCATCCTTGAAGTCCAGCAAAGAGGAGCAAACCGTGAGCTAGCTATGGATTCCAACAATTCCAATGCTAATCTGCTTTTTTCAGCCCACTCCAGCTACAGACACTTCTCACTTCTGGCTACTGGAGCACCCCATCATGCTGGCCTTCATCGATCAGCTGGAGCAGCAGCCGCAGCTCTGGGACTTGGGCATGCTGACCTACCGGAACTACAGGCATCGCAGCATGGCCTGTGAAAAGATAGCCGCTGGCCTCAGTGACCAGTTTGGACTGAAAATGTCGACTCAAGAGATTGCCACCCACGTCAAGCAGCTAAAGGATATTTATATCAAGGAAAGGCTGCGTCTGGAACGGACTACAGATGCAACAGCCAGCCCCGAGTGGTATTACGAACGACTTAATTTCCTGGTGAAGAGTCTACGGCGACTTAAGCATCCCAATATGCTGGGAAACGGGGCTGAGGTGTTGGCTGTGCCCCACCTGAATCATGCCCAGAACCTCAAGCTCATTGAGCTGTACCGCCAGTGCAGCCAAAGTTGGGACATGCAAAACATCGCTTGCCGGATGGGTAATGTCCGCCAGGAGGCCAAGGATCGCCTGCTGGAGCTGTGCCGCACGGAACTGCAGATTCCGCTCGATCCCTCGCAGCTGCAGCGTTTCATTCGCCGCCTGAGAAGCACTTACCACCAGGAGAAGGTGCGCCGACTGCGGAGCGAGCGGGAGGGCAAGGTGTTCCGCTCCCGTTCCCGCTACTACGAGAAGTTGCGGTTCCTGGAGGACCACATGGCGCCCTTTCAGTGTGACTTGTGTCAGGAGCTGGTGAACAGCGTGGATGGCTACAAGGTTCATCGGGCCAAGCACGACGATAGCCTGCCCTTTGTGTGTCCCACATGTGGAAAGGGCTTCACCAAGGTGGGCAATCTCACTATTCATTTGCGGCGGCACACGCAAGACTACCACTTGAGCTGCGAGGAGTGCGGCAAGCGGTTCGCCACCAGCACGGATCTCATAGTCCATCGGCGTTCGCATACCGGTGAACGACCCTACTGCTGTCACATCTGCGGCGGCCGCTTCAGCACCGTCTCCTTCTTCAAGCGGCACAAACGGCGGCATGAGCAGCGCCCGGTGGCCAAGTGCCACATTTGCGGCAAGGGTTTCTTTGAGCGAACCGTCCTGCGGGATCACATCAAGGGGCACCTGAACGTTCGCGACAAAGAGTGCGATGTGTGCCACAAGCGCTTCACCAGCGCCAAGTACCTGAATCGGCACAAGGAGATCCATGCCGAGCACAAAAAATACGTGTGCAAGACCTGCGGCAAGGGATTCGCCCAGTATGCAGGACTCAAGGGACACATGAAGTCGCACGAAAGAAAGAAAATTAAAGCCGGAGAGGAGGGACCTAAGTGATTCTCATTAAAACTAAGCAAAGATAAGTGCTGCGACTGATAAGTGTAGTGATGGGAAGTAGGTACTTGTACTATATGGCAAAGTTATACTCTGACGTTTAAATTGAACGCTTTACAACTTATACATACGATTTTAATAACAGTTATTGTTAGTATTGTGTTTTTGCAAACTTTTCGGATCTATGGAACTTTAAAAGTTTAAAGTATTAAAACTCTCATTTGTTTTAAAATATGATGTGGCACAAAAAACCTCTCAGACTTACAGATTTATTTACAGATTTATTATTATTATTTTGCAAATATTTTAAATAATTTATTAAAAAATAAGCTTCCAAACCACTCATTACGTTTTAAAGAACAATAACTGACATTGTAATTTTTCCAATACCGGATATTGAAAATATGGTACTTCCTACATATCTATAAAAAGCAGTTCAGTCCCTTCCCATCACTGCCGATTAGCTGTATCGTATCTCCATGGGCTGGTCAAGGCCCTGATTTGCTCCAGTTACCCACAAATTGCCAAAGTCCAAGCCGGCGGGCAAAAGAGCAGCCCGCCGAAGCCATTGTCATTCACTTGCTAGTGTAAACAGAAAGATATGAATGTGGGATATAGAATGATGTGCTTAGGGCGGATAGGAGCTCCTCCAGTGCATTTCACACATTATCGTCAATTCTCCGACAGCTTGTTATATTTATATTTGTAGCGAGTACTTTGGCATTTGTTTGGTTCCCCCGTGGTTATCTTATCGGGAGTGTCGGAGTGGCTGGGACTGTGGAACAATTGGAAGTGCGATAAGCGCCCACAGAATTCCAACCGCTCGCCCCAGCCAGTCAGTTGAAATCGGAGCTGCCTGCGAATTATCCACTATCCATGACCGACCGGCAATCGGGCCACTGATACTGCGTCATCCAAATCGCAAAATAAAGGAAGATTAGCCCAGGAAAAGCCATCATAATCGAAAGAAGCCCAAGAAGTGAGTTGTGGTCAACTTGTGTTGCTGCTGCTGTTGCAATTTCGGTTGCTGTTGCAACTTCTTGGGACAACACTGTGTGACCCAACGGAAATTGGCCCTTGAAAAGCGGGAGAGGTGGGTGTTTACCACAGTATGCACTAAGTAAAGAGGAATATATTGCTATATTGTATTATTCCTTTCCTAAAAAGTACATTTTCAAATTTATATGATTCTAGGGAGTCTTATATGACTGTCAAAATGTATTTTTTATTTACCAGTGCCCACTGTCTTTGCTATCTTCACTTAAACCCAATAGTCATAAACTAATTATACCCACGATTATTTCTTCCGCACAGTTCTTCCACTGACGTCACTTGCCCCCAGGGGAAGAGGAGAAGCGGGCTTTCGACTGGTCAGCTGCCTCACCCTTCGGTGGGTACCAGTACGATAAAGCCCAAGAGCAGCCAATCGAGAAGAAGCCCAAGTCAAAGGGGTGCAGGGAACGGGGCCAGCCGATAAGCGATCCCAGCATCATGCAGACGACGACAAGTCAGCGGCCAGTAACGCCTGGCACTCCAGACTCGGCACACATCGTAATAGGCGCCGCGGGATTCGTGGCTCACGAGAGACGTCAGCACGGAAAGACTTTAATGAATTGCTTTCGCGACCGCTCCACGACCTCGTCGTCAACGTCATCGACGCAGGGCCCACACGCCTATATGCGCGGCCACAGCGTCACCTCGGGCACTCTGTTCCGCCTGGAGGGCAATGGTGGCTCCAATTGCAACCTGGACAATGCGGGCAAGCAGGATACAGGGCGACCCGAGGCGGTTGTCCTCCTAAGGGAGCTGAAGACCAAACCCAACAAGCTGGCGCTGCTCAAGAGCAGCAGCACCAAAGATCTAACCCGCCTGTTCCTGGATGAATCCACCAACAAAGCGGTGCTGGTGTCGAATACCAGCCTGGATGTCTGCTCCTCAAACTCCAGTTCGGCTGGGAGTCCGGCGGTGGGCAGGTCCAAGGGCAGGGAGCGCCAGAGCGGAATTGAGTGCTGCAGCGCGTGTTCCAAGCGCTGGCGTGACCTCAAGCAGCGGATGCACACACTGGAGCAGGACCTGCTGGTTCAGACCACCTACAGCCAGGAGTTGGAGCAGAAGGTGGGCGAAATGAGTCGTCAGTTGGGCGAACTGCTCCAGGAACGAGACAGGGACAAGGAAAAACAGCGCTCCGCAGGATCAGGCGCATTCAGCAAGCGATATCCACCGGTCCATCCCGCAGGCAGTCCCAATGTACGGCCCTCACGCCTGGTGGCCTGGATGAATCTGTCCAACTGGTTCAAAAGCCGGCCCAGTGTGGAGACCCTGCGGGAACAGCGCATTTTCTTCGACGAACCCTGCTTCGATACGGAACTGGAGATGGTTCTGAAGCACGACCAGCACCGCAATGTGCCCCGGATCGTGGTGGATTGCTGCGATCTCATCGAGCAGAAGTACCGCAGATCCACGCAACCCATCGAGGGCATCTATCGACAGTGCGGCGACTATAACAAGATCCAAACGCTGCGATTCAGTATCGATGCGAATGACTATGATGCACTGCGTCAGCCGGACGTGGATATACACACGCTGACCGGGGTGCTGAAGCTCTTCCTGCGCGAAATCAAGAGTCCGCTGGTTAGTGTCAACGAGGCCAAGACCTTCATTGGACCGCCCAATCAGTGGTGTAAGTTCGGAAGTCCTCCTTGTAGTGCTCTCAATTGTAATCTCCGTATCCCCCCACAGTGCTAACTGATCTTTCCGCCAAGCTGGACACTCTGAAAAGACTGATACGTTCGGTGCCGGAGATCAACCGCGACACCATGGACTATATCTTCGGGCACTTCAACAGGTGAGTGGTTCCTAATAGATAGCAATTAAAGCTGTAAGTAAAGTAAGTGTAAGGACAAAACCCCTTCAGATCTATGACAAAGTGTTGGATGGGTTATATTTTCAAAAAAATTAATACGGAGTTTCCCTATCAAGCTTGGGTCATAAGACTTTATATTTGTACTTTTCCAGAATATTCTTAATGACTCAGGATTTTTAGTGATCATCGAAATACATTAAATATAAACCATATTTTGTTGATTATTCATTACTTTTAGTAATTCGTTCATCGAAAGTGCTAAATATTTACTATACAAAATTGTTTTTTTGTGGCTTGTATAATGACACAAATCTTTAATTTTTTGAGAAAAAACTTAAATCCATTTGACATTTTTATTGTAAACTGACACTTAGGGGGTTTCCAGCGAATGGGATTTTTTGTTTGGGGTCTTTTAGTACGGTTTAATCTAACATTGAAACTACTGAAATAATACAATACAACGTTATCTGCGTTAAAAATTTATGTAGTTCTCAATACGAAATATCTTCAACACTCATATATCAATAAAATGGGCATTTCCATTAACCTTTCCAGATTAACCAAGGTGCCTCTGCAGCAGATCAGCGCCGAAACGCTGTCCATATCGGTGACGCCCTCCATCTTCCACACGGTGCCTCAGGGTGTTCACATGCAGGACATCCAGCAACTGCTCCGCGAGGGCGAAACTCTGGCCGACTGCGTCAAACTGATGATCGAGTACCAGGGTCGTATATTCGAGTAAGTGAGCCCCGTAGAGGAGGAGGAGCCCCTGGTATCCCTGGTGAAGGTGCATTGGTTTCCGGCCGCCTGCTACTGTTTCCCCAACCCGAATCCCAGCTGCTTACGCCTCATCCAAACCCCTGTGCTCATCCCTGTGCCGTTGTCTCGAAAGCTTTGCTAACCACACGAAATCCTGAACCCGAATCCGAATCCGAACCTGAACCTGAACCCACTGTACCTGCAACTCCAATCCCCCATCCCAACGATCCCGTCGTCTACAGATGCACCGCCGATCGCCGCCGCCTGAGCATGCGCAACCTGAAGAAGACTCTGTCGCAGCCGGACCTGCTCTTCCACAATCTATTCTGATCTGACCCGATGACATGGATCCATGGATCCACGGATCCTTTGATCCCTCATGCCAGAGAGAGCACTGTACATATTGAATGACTTTAGGCACTTAAGTTTACTAACCCACATACAGGCATATTAACATCTATGTCCTAATGTTTTATATGAATTTTTTTTATACGTTTACTTTATAAACTAACTTTTGTACTTATGTTTAATAAACTGAAAGGTTTCACCTTAATATAGTGGTTTATTTTTATATGACTATGGGTATACCACATCAAATATGTTATGGACAAACTTTTTTAGCCGGAACTCTGGATTTCAAGATGACTAATGCTCATATTGCTCCGAGATTCGGGACAGACCCCAGCTACGTTAATCCCAGAACATTTCCCCCGCTTACTCATCGAAAAACAAAATTTGATTTTCACGGGCGTATGTATATTTTTCTTGTATTTGAACTGCTATATAACATGGTGGGGTGTTTTTGTTTTTTTGGGGGGTTTTAAAGGAGCGGGGAATGTGGGGTGACAGGGACGGAGGCAGTTGGGAAGAATCTATGATTTTGCAAGACAGTCTAATCGTCACTAGAGCTAAGATGTAATAGATATTTGTGTATTTTTTAAAAACCAACTGGTTTTAAGTGCTAAGTGGCCTATAAACGTATGTATATATCAGATATATGCTTGTATGTACTAGGTTTATATTAGGTTCGGTATTAGCAATCCGATTTCTAGACTTGATTCAACATTAACATTACATTTTTAGACATATGTGGTAGATGTATGTATATCTTATGCGTGGGCCTTTCGAAATACATATGTAAATGTGTTGTGTACACGTAAAGCCATCTGATTTAGCGCGTTTAAAATAATGACAGAACATTTCGCTCGCTCTTCGGATCACAATTCGGGGTTAATCGATGCATGTATATGAATGATTTCTATGATGTAAATAGGTAGGATTCTGCTTCGGTTGGTTTCCAATGAGGGGTATTACAAAACTGAGTTCTATTATGATTGCCCAAGCAATCATGAAAATTAGATACATATCGAAGGCACAGGAATATTACACACACATTTAACTCTAAGGGGCCGGGGTCCTTAGAACTGAATCCAACTGAATAACTACTGGGTTTACCATGGCAGCCGCCACATGCGCATCAGACCTGATGAAGCTTACGCTAAACTAAATATAAAATCCACTCATTTCCGGTTCTGTTGCTTTGTTGTATACATTGCTAAACGCTCAATTTGCGACGTTTCCTATTAAAGTTTTGCAATCCTACTTGAAGAACGGGTTCTTCGATGCCGATGACTTCATAGTGCATAAGATCTGGCGTTCCAATTGAAAGTCATAGTCGAGGGACTTAAGCAGCGTGGAGATTTCTGGCAGTGTAGGTATCTTTAGAAAATATAAACACATCGAGTTAGAGCGAGAAGGGAATGGCTTTTGGAAGCATCACTCACATCAGTTACAGCTTGGTTACGCTGCAGCCTAATGTCCATGACGAAGGGTACTCCCTCCAGCTCGGTGTAGGTGCCCAGGGTGCCGGTGCCGCCGTAAGTGCCACGTCCTCCTCCGGAACCCACTCCCGCCGGACGAGGTGGCGCCGGTCTCTGTGGCGAGTTTATTTGATAGTTGGCTTGGATCTCCTCATAGTCATGGTGTTCAGTCGGTGGCTGTGGCAGCTGGTTATGCAAATAGTCAGGCATTAGCTGGATAATGAAAGATTAAAGCCACCACTTACTGGTCCACGAGAGTTGCGCTGGTCTTGGAGGTTCAGGCGGTTCAGGGCCTGCTCAACTTCACAGGTGGCTGGAGCCGGAACTCCTACACCTGGCACTGGGGGCGACAGGCGCACTGGGATCGCGCTCGTCTTGTAGCAGATTAACACTCCGTTGATATCGCCGGCCAGCTTAAAGCCATCGGGTGCTACCTTTAGCTTGGAGCAGAGTATTATGTCGGTGACCGCCTGGGTCACGGTTCCCCGCTTGGAGAGCTTGTAGATCAGCTGCCGCTTGCGCCAGGCCTTCTGGTCACTGTCGGCGGTCCGGGAAACCTGCGAGAATTCCTTGGGCGGTGCTGTCTTATCCGCAATGACTCTGTAAATCAAAGAGTTTTCAATAAATAATTTAGGGGATATGACGAGCAAGAAGTTGAGCTCACTGTAGGGTCTCCACCACGTATTCCGGCAGACCTTCGGACTTGGAGAGGCAAAGATAGCGCGTATTTTGGCGCCCAAACAGGCTGTAGTCGCGCCAAAGGTCCGCATCCGAATCCTGGTCGTAGGTGCGGTGAATGGCACTGAAGTTCTTCGGGCAGCTAAGAGAATAAGAAACTTTTATTATGGATAAATTACTTAGCGATGTAGACCTCTACACTTACCGCTCGAAATCCTCGACAATGTGCAGTGAGGTTATAGGTCGATTGTCCGGCAGAAAGCTCATGATGGAATTGAAGACATTTGTGGTGCTGGCCGAGCCGGCTCCATTGGCTGTCTCCAGCGGAGATCCCAGCAGAGCTGCCGATGATAATGGAGCTCCGCCGGCGCCCAGCCCTGTGATGCCGCTTTGGATGTGCTTACCCACCTTGTTCATCGCTCAGTGTTCTGCAGAAAATTGGGAGAGGAAATTATTAGTTAGATGGAGATATAATTTGAGTTATGACTCGTTAAGGTAGTGATAGGTAGGGTTCTATACGTAACAGAAATACGCTAAACGGGGTACTTTATCATTAGAAACCTATACATTGGTGGGTAAGTTGAGTGTAAAGTTTGCATGTGTTTTAGATGTTTACAAATAAGATTCACTATTGTTTGGTATATATCTAAGCATTTCCGGCATATCTTGTGTTTTCTCTTTGATATGCTGATTGCATTGCATATAACTTAACTTAATTTATGGGTAGGTAAGGAATGAATAATATATTTAAATAGACCGATTTTTAAGATATTTCAAATGTTGACCTATTTAAATTTAAAGCAAAATAATTGTATAACTGCCAGGTACATGAATACCTACATAAGATTATGCCTAACTAATCCTCAAGAGCCCGGATACTATAATATCTAAAAAATGTTTATACACTTTAGTATTAAACTATACAATATATATTTTAATACTTAATAACTGTGTACCGGTAACCCTGGACTGTGGTAAATCTCTGATCGTGGTGGTGCTTTTTCCCGCCCCACGCAAGTGATTCATGATCTTGCTGCTGGGTTTTTTGCATGGCATTCTTTTGTAGGTCGCCCCACCAGGGCCAGTTCCGAGTTTCTCTTTAGCCACATCCACTCACATATTCAAACCCAAAGAGCGGCGGGGTCAGTGTGAAATAAAGTAAACAAATCCGGCCGCACGATCGAGTGCGCACTTTACAATCGAAATGGGGAGATGGGCTCTCTTTTATATTGTACTTTTTGTTTTCCGGATTGTCAATATGTTCTATAATTAATTATTGATAAGATATACCAAGCAACGAGTACGCCGGTAACTATGAGTCACCCAGAAACTGCAAAAACCAAATGCAAAATGCAATAAAACCCCATTTACAAGAAATGAAAACAAAAACCAGACAAAGAAGCATAAACAAAACAAATAAAGTACCAATATCAACAGCCCTTAAAGAAAATTGTTGTTTTTTAAGGTTTTGGTTACCAAGCAAGTGGTTTTTAATTGTTTTACCAATTAAAATAAATGATTTATACCATATGGATTTTAAAACAAAATTAAATAAAGAGGGTATATGGTTTTATAAAAGAGCAAACTTAGTCAAAAATCAATAGTTAGGAACTAATATTACGTAATTTAGCTCTCTATAATGTCAGATAGTAATTGATCTATTATTTTCTCTGTGACATACTATAAAACTAAACTATCATTGCTATTTAATTAAGACCCCTTAAGTACATCGATCATTATTTAAGATCTTGTTTTTTTCGTGCACATACTTTCTAAGGTTTCGAAATCGAATCTCTTTGGCGCGCAGACAAAGAAAGGGGGGATTAGCAGCGGTATGTGTATATACGTCTGGTGAAGTGGGGAAACTCCGGCTGATAACCAAAGTGGAGCACACTTGGCTTAAAAATAGAAACCATAGAGAAACGGTTCGAAGACATCCCATACCGCACACGATTCCAATTATAAGTGCAAATTGCCAAGGAATATAGAGTTTCCACATCCCCACCCTCTTCTATCCTCTTGAGAAAAACATTAGTCAACACAGCATCCACTCATACGTACGTACGCAATTAATAATTCCCGATGGAGCGATTCGGGTTGGGATTACGATTCCGGGGACCTATGACTCCAGGGGGCCCGAGTTCACACTCAATGACTATACGATCGCACTATGCAGGCCGGCGATTCATTAACTGCATTTAATAGAACTATCAAACGGCTGCTCGGATCCCCGGATTTTTGACTCTATTGTTTGGCAAACAACAAAAAAACACACTGATTTATTTGGGATGGTGCCACTTCGACGGCACTGCTTTTCTAAACATCGATTGTTCGCTATCGATGTTTACTCTTATATCATAATAAACAAAACAGAAATTCTGGGAATCTTTTCAGTAAGTCTATATCTTATAAACAGAGTATGGATTTTTTTCAAATGAATAATTCTTGGAACTGAATAGAAAGAACTATGAAGCTTTTCCAGAGAACTATCTACATTGTGTATATATATTGCTTGGATTACCCATCCTTAAATTTTGGTGTGAATTATTGGTATCAACGGTTAATAACGATGATTAATATTTTAAATAATTTTGTAAAAATCAAAATAAACGAGCTCTATAGCTTTTCAAATATCGATAACAGTTGGCGTAAAAACCCATTTATCGTCCAGTCTGGCAGCACTAGCGTCAAAAACAATCATAATCTGGCAACTCTTAGGTCGAAAACAATTTCTTTTCGTTTTTTTTTTTGACTTAAATAAATCAAATAAGACTGATTTGCTCCGATGGAGAAAGTGGAAGCTGTGACTGTGCCCACCGTGGATGCGTACCGCCGCCTGCTCAACAAGGCGGTGTCCCAGCTGCTGTTGGACAAGGGCGCCGGCCAGGCGAGTAACCAGTGCCTGGAGACGCTCACCCAAATGTTGCAGGCGCGTAAGTTGAAATTGGCATTGGTACATAGCCCAGGGTAACCATATACTCCATGTCCAGTGATTGGAGAGATTGGCAATTCGTCGCACAACTACTGCGAACTGAGCGGACGCACCATGCCCACCGTGGGCGATGTCAGCCTGGCCCTCATCAACATGGGCATCTCCATCTCCAGCCTGGATCCGTACATGCGCAAGGAGACGCATGTGGGCATCCCACTGCCGCCACAACAGACCCAGCAGCGCCAGCTGAGCCTTCTCCAGGCGGGCAGCAAGTCCTCGCATCCGCACTATGTACCCAGCTATTTCCCGGCCATGCCGGATCCACACGCCTACATCCGCACGCCCACGCACAAGCAGCCGGTCACGGAGTACGAGGCCATTCGCGAGAAGGCCGCCTGCCAGAAGCGCGACATCGAGAAGGCGCTCACCAAGTTCCTCTGCAAGACCACGGAGACCAACAACCTCTTTCCCACCGAGGACAACATGTTTCCCTGTAAGGGACCTCTAACTAACCACAGTATCTCGTTAATTAACCTTTAATTTATCCCAGTAATTGCCTGCAAGCCAGCCTTTCCGCCCTATGCAGCCGCCTTGAATCCCACAGATCAGGTGTTTGACTTCGAGGAGCTGGAGTATCACTATCTGGTGGCCAATCGCACAGAAGATGTGCCCAGCAAGGGTGAGTACTTCCTTCTGGATAACCAAATACCCAGATTCTAACTTCTTTCTCCCCTTTCAGAGGACGGCGAAGAAGGCGACAGCGAGAACGAGGAGATGGACGGCGACAAGTCCAAGGAGGAGAAGCCCGAGCTAGAGATCAAGCCAAATTCCACCACCAACAAGGCTATTTTGGAGAACCCCAACATAGATAATCCCTATTTGCGTGCCGCCACGCTGCCCAAGCGTTCCAAAACTGGACCGACACCAGGAATAATGCCCACCAGGGGTCTGGCCGGCACGGCGCCTTCGATACCCACTCCCTCTACCCTAGAAATAACCAAAAATATCATCTAAGTGAAGCATGCGGTTTTAAATATTGTTAGAACATTTTTAAATTGTTTTAAATAAATAACATAACTGCGCTCATACATAGTATTAATAATAGTATAATAATAGTATTATGCCACGTTTTAAATAAAGAATTTATACTTTGTTTTCAAATCTGGTGTATATTTAAGCAATTTTTAATATTAGGTGCAATATATAAAGAATGAGTTGGATGCCTGATGAACGAATGTTTTCAGGAATGACTATATATTTATTTTATTTTATATTTTAGTTTTCCTTAAGATTTATCGGAAATCATAAAAAACCTTATTTTTGGACTTTTGGGGAATGTCAAGCAGATATTAGTATAAAATATAAAAGAGATCGGTACAGATCAAAATATGTACCATTATAAAGACAAAAAAATAAATACCTTAACATATAATAAACAATTTATACATTTTTCACGTAAAAATAAGGTAACTAAGATATATATTATATAGTACTAATAATTATAATATTTTATAACATTTTCAAAACAAATATAGTCCTGGGGATCAACGACCATTTGGTTTTGGACATCTGCAAATCGGTTATGTTCTTCAATCTCCAAGCCGCTAATCCGACGGTATGTAAATGCATTTCCATTAAGGCAATTGAGGAAGGTCCATTCGTGCCCTGTCCATTAAGATCAATTAGAAAACAAATAAGGCATCGGCAGCCGCTCTCCGAGATTTCGCATAAAAAGCCGGCATCGAATGATGCCGCAATTGCACATCGAATCGATCCATGATGTCGGACGCACCGGAGGAGCTGCCACTCTACCTGACCCCGCAGTTCTTCAGGCGCACCCTGGAGCACGGACTGCAGCGGCTGGATTTGCAGGTCATGGGGGTGCAGCTGACCAATCTGACCCGTGGCGGGGAGAACTACTGCAGCAACATCTACCGGGCGCAGGTCAGGTATCGCAATGCCGAGAACTGTGTCCTGGAGACGTCCCTTATCGTCAAGTCCATGCCGGACGAGAAGCAGGCCATCCTGGCCCGTCTGCACATCTACAACAAGGAGACCATCTTCTACTTGAACATCAAACCGAAGCTGGAGGCACTCATGTGGCGGGCGGATGAGGCCACCCATCCCTGGTCACTGGCTGCCAAGTGGGTGACACTGGGACTCTTCCTTCCTTCTTAAGGCTATGAGTAACTTCCTCCCCCTTTTCCAGGCACTACTACTCCACTACCCAGCCAGAGCAGACCATCATCTTCGAGGACCTGTGCTCCAAGGGCTACCAGCTGAAGTGTCGTCAGCTGGGCCTAGACTTCGAGCACTCCTCCCTGGTGATGAGGAAGCTGGCCGAGTACCATGCCCTCACCATGGTGATGGCTGAACAGGAGCCGGAGACGATCGTGGAACGCTATCCCTTCGGCCTACTGCACATGGACGCCATCAAGTCGGAGCCCTTCAAGCTGCTCTTCGGGACCCAGCTCCTCAAGCTGGCCGCCCTGGTGGGCGACTGCGAAGGATTCGGTGGGATCACCACGAAGCTCTACCGCTACCACGAGCACTTCATCGATCGGGTCCTGAAGGCGGTGTATCCCCTGCGTGGAGGCCACAATGTCCTCAATCACGGTGACCTTTGGGTGAACAATATATTCTTCAAGTACGACTCGGAGTACAAGGTGCAGCAGGTGAAAATCGTAAGTGATCCCATCTTGAGAGCCTTTTATATATTACTATATCTTTCTATCTATACCTAACCACCGAAATCCAGATTGACTTCCAGCTGTGCTTCTACGGCAGCCTGGGCTTCGACATAAACTACTTCCTGAACACCAGTCTGGAGCTGGAGGTGCTACGTGACCATCGGCAGGAGCTAATCGACATATACCACAAGGTCCTGGTGGACACCCTGAAGCACCTGCCCTGGTCGAAGCCACTGCCCAGCCATGGGGACATCATGGATGAGATCAGGAAACGCGAGGCCTACGGTTTCTTTGTGGCCTTTGGCTTCTTTCCCCTGATGAGCATGATCGGAGTGGATTCCGAGGACAACTCGCTGAAGAACTTCCACGACGAGACCTTTGCCAGGCAGAAGGTCCAGCTCATGTTCGAGGGAAACACCCGCACCCTGGAGAGCTTGAAGTGCACCCTGAAGCGCCTGGATGAGTTGAAACTGTTTGACTAGACAGTAATAGATCGTAATCCTTTTTTTTTATAACTCCAAAGAACGCCTGGTTTAATATACCCTTAAGGTTCAAATAAAAATCTTTTACCATTTTTTTTTCAATAAAAGATTGTCCTATGTTCGATTCCAGACCTGAAATCCTATTACTGAAGCCGTATAAACCGAGAATATCTACTGATACGTATTATTGGCAAACATTTGGGACTGTACTTTACATTTGCCAAGCCCTTTACTTACCAAAACCATTCAATTGTGAAATGCAAAAGTAATGTCCAACCATATTAACATGTCGTACAATCCAATTAAATGTTCTCACTTCCCTAAAAAAAGAAAAACATTCCAATTACCAGATGCAAGACTATTTTTGTCCAACCGCATTAGTGTCAATTACGCTCAGAGTGCATTTCATATTTTTCGTTAAATCGAATTAAATGCTAATCATTCATTTCTCTTGACCTTTTAGCATATGCGTAGGTATAGTCCCCCATCCTCCAGGATTTCTCGGAAGTGCACCCACTTGTGGCCCTGTAAAAATGGGGGAGTTGGTATGTGGACCGACTGGATGCAGTCATTGGTAATAATTTATTGTGAAATAATTGTAATGAACTATAATTGAATCACATCGCAACGCGGATTTATGATTTCATTATGGAGAGATAGCGCGCAGTATTTGACATATCGCAAAGTATGTTAATGCAGTGAAATTTGGCACTGGTTACTCGAATATTTCTGGGGTATATTGAACTTGAAGTATAAGTTTTTGATCCTATTTAAGTATGTGAGTGTATATTTCGATTAACTAAAGACGAACCACAGAATTCTTTGGTTCTCCAAAGTTGAGGTATAAGAATTTTGGTACTATTAGTTCTTGTATGTATGTCTATCTTATTGGCTCTTATATTCACGAGTATAGTTCGCTCAGAATAAAAATTTTGCGTGGAATGAGTCCTTGCGATGACCCACCTAAGAAGGCAACACATTTTGCAAACTGGGTATTTCACTGTCGACTTTACTTCGTTGATGCTGGATTTACTTCCCACGCGGACTGTGGTTTGCGTAATTAGAATCTGATTCAGTCTGACGGATGCTGATGTCAACTTGTATGAATGCAACGATGTGAGATTAATAGCATTGTCACACGCGCTGCACCGAAAATGATTACAAATTGCAAAGAATACAGTAATATGCTAATTATACACGTAACATGTACTGCAAAAGGCAGCCATCCTAAGCTAACGATCTCCATCACTTTCCGGAAAAATAATTTTTTTCAGATTTTGGTCAAAAATACCGATTTATTAAGGGTTTTTCGATCGTAGTTTAGCCAAATCAAAGCGTACATCCAAAAGGCCGACAGTTTTGAGCAGCTAACATCCTAAGCTAACAATCCCAATCATTTTAAAGGAAATTTATTTTTTGACCCATTTTTTCATTTTTTGTAAGGGGCTGCATCGTCTTTTTTTGAAATTCTGATTTTGGTCAAAAATACCCATTTTTTAACGGTTTTTCGATCGTAGTTTAGCCAAATCAAGTCGCACAGCCAAAAGACCGACAGTTTTGAGCAGCTAACATCATAAGCTAACAATTCCAATCACTTTAAAGGAAGTTTATTTTTTGACCCATTTTTTCATTTTTTGTAAGGGTTGCATCGTCTTTTTTTGGGATTCAGATTTTGGTCAAAAATACCCATTTTTTAACGGTTTTTCGATCATAGTTTAGCCAATTCAAGGCGTACAGCCAAAAGACCGACAGTTTTGAGCAGCTAACATCCTAAGCTAACAATCCCAATAATTTTAAAGGATATTTATTTTTTGACCCATTTTTTCATTTTTTGCAAGGGGTTGCATCATTATTTTTTGGAATTCAGATTTTGGTCAAAAATACCCATTTTTTAACGGTTTTTCGATCATAGTTTAGCCAATTCAAGGCGTACAGCCAAAAGACCGACAGTTTTGAGCAGCTAACATCCTAAGCTAACAATCCCAATAATTTAAAATGAAATTCATTTTTTGACCCATTTTTTCATTTTTTGTAAGGGGTTGCATCATTATTTTTTGGAATTCAGATTTTGGTCAAAAATACCCATTTTTTAACGGTTTTTTGATTGTAGTTTAGCCAAATCAAGTCGTACAGCCAAAAGAACGACATTTTTGAGCAGCTTACATCCTAAGCTAAAAATCCCAATCATTTAAAATGAAATTCATTTTTTGACCCATTTTTTCATTTTTTGCAAGGGGTTGCATCATTATTTTTTGGAATTCAGATTTTGGTCAAAAATACCCATTTTTTAACGGTTTTTTGATTGTAGTTTAGCCAAATCAAGGCGTACGGCCAAAAGACCGACAGTTTTGAGCAGCTGACATCCTAAGCTAACAAACCCCATCACTTTCCGGGAAAATATTTTTTTTACAAGTTTTCGCATTTTTCATATCAGGATTTTTTGAAAAAAAAGGGACAAAATTAAACATATCCAGGTTTAAATGTCAATGGATAGGGAATTTAATTTCGAGCTTAACGAGGTATGACTTTCCTTATTCTGACCTTTCCTTGCATAATGGCAGCCAAAATACTGTTATTTTAGGGCAGGAAATAAGAATTATTTAAAAATAATGGTCAAAATTGAATATTTGCATGACAATGTATAGGGAATTTTGTTACGAGCTGAACTCAAATCCTCTAGAGGTTTATCCCTTCCCATAGGTATCTACCAATATGATAAGATATCCCTTCCGTGTGGATGTTTGTGTGCAAATAATTATGAATAAAAATATAGAGAGATAGAAATAATGTGCGAGACTCTGTCTGTTTGTTTCTTTTTTTTTGTAATTTAATTTAATTTACATTAAAAAATATAATTTGTAAATAATGAAATATAATCAATAATTCATCAAGGTGTTCAGATGTTTGGCTGTTGTTTTGAATCGTTGATCTGAATTATTTGTAGCAGTTGTTTTTGAGTTTGAGTTTGAGTCTGAGTTTGATTTTGAGATGTTTTAGTTGTTGCTGTTGTTGTTTATTGACTTCATTTCTGATCAAATCCATTGTGGACACATATATATGGCGAGATATATACATGCATATATATTTGTGGATATATATATTAATAGATTTATATAAATTGTATTGCTTCAGATAATTGTTGTAAATAATTTCAATTATTGTTTAGGGCGGGAGTCACGGGTCAGTGGACACTAGTGGACGTGTGGACACTTAAGCTTCGGCCTCAACCTCCTCCTTCACCTTGGCATCTCCGGGCTTGCCCTTGGACCAGTCGGGTTTCTTCTGCTCATCCGTAATCGAAATATCATGACGGAATAAAGGAGAGAATAAGACGGCATTAGTAAGATCATAGACACAACGGATGGCCACATATAACATCTGGATGCTCAGTGCCGACACTAAAAACTACATGGTGATCTACATTTACAAGTGACGTGTGCTTAAAAAAAATCGATGTAGTGCGATGGTCAATTTGATATTTTCGATAACAATAAATTGATAATTTCGATACAATTTTTGTAAATCATCATAGCAAAAAGAGATCAATATATTTGTATTACAAATATCAAACTTCCATCCTCTATGGATCTTTTGGTACTTTGTGTGTGTGATTTAAAGAGAGAAAATGTGTGACTACAACTACTAACTAAAGACAGCTACGATCGTAGAAAGTCAAGGACAGAACAGATCAGTGTGCGACAAAAGATACAGATATAGAGAGAAAGATATAGAGCGGGTGCACTCAGGTGCTCAAGGCAAACAGAAGGATCTAGGTCACACGCACACACTCAGGTTCTTACACTTTTTGGCTTTAGTTAGCACAGCGGCATCTTTAATTTTTTTCTAAATGTCACAGAAGAGATAGAGATTTAAAGATCGGTGTATTGTTTCGATCATCGTTCCCCCCGTATAGTAATCCCCCTTAAAGTGGGGCACCCACTTACCTCCTTCTCCTCCTCCTCCAGCGTGAACTCCTTCTTCTTCACCACCTTGAGCTGGTTGCGGAAGTTGAACTCAGCGGCCTTCTTCTGCAGCTTGGCGAATTTGTTTTCGTATTTGGAGACCTTCTTCAGGGCTGGCTTGACGCTATAGGGAAGAAAGTTAAACAATCGATTAATAATCGCTTTCCCATCGATTAATTCGATTGATACTTACAACTTGCCGCGAAGATCGTTAACTTGGGCATTGAGATCGTTGATCTGCGGGTGTACCACATCAGATTTTAAGAGAGTTGGGAAGAGAGAGGTTACGCGATTAGTACGAGTTCATCGACTATTGTCAATTGGGCTATCGACACATAAAGCTACAACTACGGGCGGGCAACTATCAAAATCAAAATGCTGCAAGAAGAAGTTCTTTCTTTTCGATGGGCAGGTGTTTTTCTCATGGCATGCAAAGGAAACAGGAAACGTGGGTTGCAGACATATATAGCATACTCTACCATTGGCACTACCACTAAGTCGTAATGCTAAGTACTAGGTGCTAATACTAGGGCGTGCTGGCGTGCGTGGGTGAGTGAGTGCGAGAGCGAGTAAGCGAGCGAGCGGGCGAGCCATACGAGCCAAGTTCTCTGCGGTCTAAACTGCCTAGTGGGAGCGAGACGAGGATATGGTTGTTGCGGTTCGGTTCGATAGGTTGGTGGTGGTTCACTAGATTGGCGCTTTTCTTTTTTTGTATTCAGCTCGCGCCTCTTGTTGATTGAACAGCATAACATCCAAATGTCGATTGCTTTTGCTTTAATGCTTTATTTGTAGTTTTATAGAGAGTATTGTTCGTTTATACATATATACACTAGACAGAGACAGATAGTCAGAGTGATCAAGTGAGAGAGAGATAGATAGATTGATAGCCTGAGCCGGAGTGAGTGAGACGGAACGAGCGACGTTGGCCTAACTGCAACTACAATGGAAATGGAACTGAAACTGGAACTGAGATTAAGGATTGAGATTGAAACTGAACTTAAACCCAATTGGGCGACTGGGCTGAGGTACTGCTTAACGGTATTCATATATATCGTTATCGTTATCTTTATCGGAACGCTAATTACAGCC